TCTCATTAGCTCTATGACAGTGTAGGAAGTAAGCTATTAGTTTCTTGCCGTCAATGTATAGATGCTGTAGGTCACTCAACTAGGAGGTGGCCGAACTCAATCAGAGGTCAATCTCATGCCAAACTCCATGTTTCTAACAGTGACTGGTGTGTATTTTGCTTTAACCTAAAGACATGGATCAGGGGGTGTTGCCCTACGTGGCAGGCAGGCAGGCAGAAGAAAGTGCTGCCCTCTTGGTTACCCTCTCAAAACTTGTCCCAGAAGGGCATTTTGAAAGATGACACTGTGCCTTGCTTCTAGGTTAAGGTGACCAGATTTTAACTGGTAAAGCGGGACACCATTGATAAAACTCATATCCTGATGAAATAGCCACATGGCAGCCGAAAACCGTATACCTTAGCTTGTCGTGCATTCTTTCCAAAAATCGAGACTTTTTTAAAACACCGCGCGACACAGGAAAAATTGTTAAAAATCGGGACGTCTGGTCACCTTACTCTAGGTAGGTGTGGCCAGTAAGGTTGCAGAGCGAGTGCTGAGACCCAGGGGACCCATCTGGCTTAGAGCTGGGGTTGCCAGTCTACATGCATGGAAGGATTGTCTGTGGGCAGAACGCAGTCGTTGGCTCGTCCCTGCTGCCTTACCCTCCAAATTTTTCTCGTCCAGAATACACTAGTTCTTCAAAAGGCTTGTGGAAAATCCCAATACCTTTTCATTCCATTTTCTGAGGACTTCTGGATGCCCTCATGTTTCCTTAAGTGTGTCGATACATCGGACCTGAGTCCCACACAGTTCTCGTTCTCAGAGAATCAATGTACGTTGTTTGTTAAGACAGCCACCTGTGTTCTGCTGTTAGAGCAGCACATGACAACTAAGAATTTGAGGGCGAAAGTGGTTTGGGACACATGAACCCCTCAGAACCAGTGGTGGAGGGAAGGTGGGGTGGAAAGGGGGAACCGATCACAAGGATCTACATATAACCCCCTCCCTGGGGGACAGAAAACAGAAAAGTGGATGAAGGGAGACATCAGACAGTGTACGACATGACAAAATAATAACTAATAAATTATCAAGGGTTCTTCGTAAGGGGGTGGGGGAAAATGAGCTGATACCAAGGGCTCAAGTAGAAAGTAAATGTTTTGAGAATGAGGAGGGCAACAACTGTACAAATGTGCTTGACACACAATGGATGGATGGATGAATTGTGATAAGAGTTGTACGAGCCCCCAATAAAATGATTCTTAAAAAATGAGCGCTGCCAAATGAAAGCAGAACTCAAAGATTTGGACAATTCTGTGGTGCAAACTCGGGACCTTTGTCCTAGAACATTCCCTGAAGACGTGGCCACCGAGTCTTCCGTTACCGAGGGTCAGCCTGTGACCGACGGATCTCACCGAGATGTCACGGCAGAAAGCTCGCCAGCGAAGGCTAAGCGGGCCACAAAGAATGGAAGGCAGATTTGTATTTTCCCTTCAGATTGAGATATGCTGAGCAAGTGCTTCCTTTCCGACTCCACGTCTTTGCATATTCCATTATAATATTTTGTCAAGAGTTGCCTTTTGAAAATTTCTGTGGAGTTTTTACTGCATCATTTCTTCTATTTTAGCTCCTCTACATTCAAGAGAAAGTTTCAGAGTCTCTTCTGAGATCCACGTTGGTCTTTTCTTTCTTTTTTCTTCTTCTCGTGAAATCTCATGTTCTTTTCTGTATTTTAAATGAACTTTTACTTACTATTTTTTTTGTTTTATTATTTATTTTTTAAGTATAATATTTTTTACTGACATATCTTACTCACACAGAAATTTTCAAAAGGCAACTCTTGACAAAATATTATAATGGAATATGCAAAGACGTGGAGACGGAAAGGAAGCACTTGCTCAGCATATCTCAATCTGAAGGAAAAAATACAAACAACGCAAGTTGCAGTATTGAAGAACCCTGGTGTAGTGGGGTGTGCTGCTAACTGCAAAGTCAACCGTTCAAAACCACCAGCCACTCTTCAGGAGAAAGATGAGGCTTTCCGCTCCTGTGAATAGTTACAGTCTTGGAAACCCACAGGGGCCGTTCTACTCTGACCTATGGAATCACTACAGTGGTTCTCAACCTTCCTACTGCCGCAACTCTTTAATACAGTTCCTCATGTTGTGGTGACCGCCCCCCCAACCATAAAATTGTTTTCATTGCTACTTCATAACTGTCATTTTGCTACTGTTATGAATTGGGCGACCCCTGTGAAAGGGTCATTTGACTCCCAAAGGGGTGGTGACCCACAGGTTGAGAACCGCTATACTATAGTCAGAAACAACTTGATGGCAGTGAGCTTTTCCTATGGGTCAAATATTAAACGATGCAGGAAGCGTCAAAAGAAGATAGAAGAAATACGCAGAGTCACTGGACCAAAAAGAATCGGTCGATATTCAACCATTTCAAGAGGTAGCATCTGAGCATGAACCATGAGTACTGAAAGGAGCTGCATTGAGGTCGTTGGTGAAAAACAAGGCCCGTAATTGACAAGACCAGTGTAAACGTTTCCACACACCGAGGGAGCATTGGAAGCACTCACTGTTCTATGCCAAGAAATTTGGAAGACAGCCGACTGGAAGAGATCCACATGTATGCCCATGCCAAAGAAAGGTAACCCAACAGGATGCAGAGAGTGGAAACCAATTAAGATCCCATGTGAGTAAAACTCTGCTGAAGATAATTCAGAAACCGTGACAGCAGCGCTGACAAGAGCTGCTGGAAATGCGCTGTCGATCCAGAAGAGGACATGGGATAAGGGAGATCCTTGGTGATATCAGATAGAGCTTGGTGGAAAGCAAGGAATACCAGCAAGATACTTACTTGTGTTTTATTGACTATGAAAAAGGCATTGACAGTGTGGATCATAACAAGCTATGAATAATGCCAAGAATGGGAATTCCAGAACGCTTCATGCATTCACGCAGAATCTATAGGTAGAACCAAGAAGCGATTGTTGGAACAGAACAAGGGGACCCCGTCTGGTTTAAAATCAGCAAAGGGGAGGATCTGGGTTGTGTCTGTTCACCATGATGATATCCCAGGTAAGTACTCCAGGAAGCTGGCCTTTAAAGAAGCGGCACCTGGGTTGGAGGAAGACTCATGAACAGGCTGTGATCACAACTGCCACCATCTTGTTTGCTGAAAGGGAGGAAGACCCATGACTACAGACTTGAGTAGCACAGATCACAGCACAGTGGAAAGAAAACGAGCACTGAGCCCCTAA